CCAGCCCCATGCTGTCACTGCATAGTGATCCTGGGGTCTCCATGGACACTGGGTGGGATACACATGGGCAGGATGCATGGGATGGGCAGAGGGAATGGCATGGGCAGGGGGGTGGGATGGGATGGGGCTGCAGGCAAGCGGCATCTGGAAGCAGGACAGGCAAATAGCGCCAGGGCTGGGATCAGGATCACGGGGCCATGACAGCACGGAGCCAGGGTCTAGGGCAGAACCATGATTCACTCCCCACATGCCTCTGCCCGCAGGACTGGTGCCTGTCACAAGGACGTGGGCAGCTGATTGTGGCTTAGACTCAGGCCCCAGTCCCATGCTGGAACCACCTTGCAATCCCAATCTGGATCCCAGCTCTGGCCCCGCCCACCGTTCCCACTCCCAGATGCCGCTCCCTTCCCACCCACAGCCCCATCCTATCCACCAGGCCATACACCCTGCCCGCGCAGGTCCCAGGCCAGTCTCCATGGAAACCCTGCCCACCTTTTATGTCTGGTGTCCCCAGCAACGAGTGTAAGACAGACAGGTCAGGGTGCCTGGGCAGTGGGGCTGGGGCTGGTGGCAGTGGAGGAAACTGGCAGGTGGCAGTGGTTAGAAGCAAGTCCCCATAAGTGCACGGCCCTCCAGCCCCACTGAACACCCACCCTAGGTGCCACATCCTGGGCTGTCCCTCCTCACCTGGACTGGGCTGAAGGACCCGCCATGGGCAGGACAAAATCCCTTGGTGCCCAGATCCAGCCCACAGGCTGTATTTTTCCACCCCTGAGCTAGACTGTTCTCAGTGGTGGCAGCTGACAGGACAAGGAGCAATGGTTTCAAGTTGCAGCACAGGAAGTTTAGGTTAGATTGTAGGAAAACCTTTCTCAGAAGGAGGGTAGTAAAGCACTAGGAAAGGCTACCCAGAGAGGCTGACAAATCTCCATCCTTAGAGGTTTTTAAGACCTGGGTAGACAAAGCCTTGGCTGGGGTGATCTAGTTGGGACCGGACCTGCTTTGAGCAGGGGGTTGGACTAGATGACCTCCTGAGGTCCCTCCCAAACCTCATTTGCTATGATTTTAACTTTAGGGCAGTGGCTGGTTGACTGGCCTCATGTTATTTAAGGGGCCGGGGCCAGAAAGGCATACTGGAAAAGCGTTTCTCTATCAGTGAGACCACCTTCACTCCCTTTGGCACTGCACTGGGCTCATAATAATAGTAGAGATGGCTCAAGGAATAGGCCTCTCACACTCAAGGGTCCCCACTTCTGGTAGAGTTAGCTGGATTACTCTCAAGCAACCTGAGTACAGAAATAAGGAGAACTGACCAGAATTTCTATGTTTTGGTTGTTCCCTTTCTCCTGTGGGCTCAGGTGGGCCATGGGAAGCAGATCACAGCTTAGAACAACCTGGAGATTGCCCAAGAACCTGGGACACCAGAATATGAGAGAACAGAGGTGGCCTGAGACCAGCTTTATCCCTCCCTCTCCTGATCCCGCTCCCTCTGAAGTGAACGGTTCAAAAGGGATCAGCCATGGCCAGTCTGGCTGGGATGATCTAGTTGGGGCTAGCCCTGCTTGGAGGAGAGGGTTGGCCTGGACCAGTGGCTCCCAAACTCAGTTTGAAAACAGTGCGAGCTTAAGCACCACTAGCAAATGTTTCCGTTCAACCTTGAGTACCACCATCAAACGTGTCATAAAAAGTAAACGTAATAAATCCGTTAGCGTGTACCGCTGCCAGGTTGCCTGAGTGTCACCAGTGGCACCCATACCAGAGGTTGGTCGGGAACGGCTGGCCTCGACCACCTCCTGAGGGCCCTCGTTTTCTCCGCTTCCCTGATCTGGCATCAGCCTGACGGGGGTGGCTTCCGTCAGCAATGGGGACCGACTTTCCCCTGGCACCCTGCTGAGGGGCAGTACACTCCTCAGCCTTTCTGCCCGCATAGTTCACCTCTTTGCCCGGGCCTGGGTGCTGGAGCGGGGCGGGGCGGGGCGCGGCCTGGCACGCGGGTGGCAGGAGGCGGCCTGAC